TATCCTCAACCTTTTGTTTCTTGAAACCTATCAATCACTCTGGTCTTAGGTCCCCACTATTTTAGAAACAAAAACAACCACTTTTAATGAGACAGACAGACATAGGTTTACATGCAATCTGGCTTTTTTCCTAGAATAGAAATACTAATTTTATTGAATTATGGTTTTATAATAGTCATCCATTGGATCCTAAAATTTCTTGGTTAACAAAATTACAATATAACATATATTCTGCAAGTTAGAAAAGCTCACAAAATTATCTTCAAGGACCATCTTACTGCATGTGTTCTTTAGGAGTTATGCTGCTTAACGTTATGTGGTAGTCACTAACACTCCTAATATAATCTGATGCTCACTGTAACATTTTCCAGGGCATTTAGAAAAAAAGAAATGAGTAGATGTTTTAGAGATTCTGTTCCTGCATTTAGTTTTTACATGAAGTTTTCAGGACATAAATAACTGTATTAATATTCCGGAGTCTTAGTTTTATTGCACATTAAAGACAAGCTGGTGGGTGGTGGGAATTAGAGACAAATCCCTGACAAATTCCCAAGTGGTCCACAGTCTCTAAGTCATTGTGTTGGGGGTACAAGTCTCGCTGGGCATCACTGTGGAGAACACTCATGCTCAGAAGCAGAGGTGGGAGCCTGAGGCAGAGCGGGCCTCTCAGAAGCCACCAGGTCAATACAAGGCTTCAGGCTTCCGAGCAAATCCCTCCCTGCCACTTTTCTCAAAGCAATGCTATAGCTAATACCTAGGCAAGAAGGTAAAACCAAAATGCCACCACTGTAAGCCTAATGGAACCCTGCAGGGAGCAAAAAGAACCTGCCTCCTAATTAGACTGCAGCCTCAGAAGGAGGCCCAGCTCCGCACAGAGTGAGGCCGAGACGCGGCCTGGCCCCGAGGCTGTGTCACCTCAGGCTGGTCACTGACCTGCCCACTTTACTGCCTCCTATGACACCTTCCCTCTAAGGATCCAGTGCACTTAGAGCAACCTGTGTCTTGGAATGAAGCCAAAGTGGGTTCATGGTAGGTTAATCCGATTCACCGCTCTTTTTTTTTTTTTGACAATATTGGTTCTTTTTATTGGGAACATGCTTCAACATTTACTGTGTACAATTTACGACTCTTAAATGGCCTACCTGCAGTGCCACCGAAGGGTTAGCAGGAGGGAGGCAAGGAAAGGACTACAGATAGGAAATTTCTATGGAAAAGTTTTGTGAAGATCCAGGTTCCCACAATAGACAGTATCCACTTAAACGAGCATTAGATGGTTCTCACTGGGGACAACTAACCGCTCCAATTGAAACTAGTATTATTTTATAGCCAAAGCATATTTTTATACTGGGACTTGCACCATTAAGTGAGAAACTGTGAGCAATTCCTCCTGCTAACCCAAAATACCTCTGCGTGCAAACACTTCAGCATTTAGACCACAACACCCCCTAAGAAAGAAGTTGTAGGAGGCCTCAGCACATTCCCTAGATAGTTCTGTCATCGATTCAAACCCCCCCCAACCGCCCCACATCCTACAGAGCAAATGCTGTTACCTTTCTGCCAACACACACACACACACACACAACTCTGCTGCTCTTCTACTGCCTTATCCTCTTAAATCCAACTCCTGTGCCCCAGGTTCTAAAGTGAAACTGTCTTGGCTAAACCAAATTTGCTTAGTGTTAGGCAGTAACGAACCCCTCCATTCTCCCTCCTTGCCTTTTTTTTTTGGACATCAAGGCCAAGAGAAGCAAAGGAAACTACTTTATCTTTGCATAGAGCTTTGTGATTTGCAAACCACCCACACATCCATGATCTCACCCAGCCTCATAACAACCCAGTGAGGTAAACCTGCTCCCCCTACACTCAAGTAAGGTAGGCCCGCCTCCTAGGACTGTTACAGCAAAGGCACAGAGTACGCACACTGGAAGGGCAAGCTCCTAACCATCAGACCCAGCCAATGTTATTTTACTCATTTCATCAGTGAGAAAATGAGACTCAGGTTGGACAGCTGATTCCAGGCAATGAGGCCCCAAAGAATCTAGACCACGCTTGGAAGCGGAAAGCCCATACAGGAGTCTTTTCACCACCATATCAACGCAGAATCTAATTGTTTAAAACTTGATAACTACACATTTCCATGTCAGTTTAGCCACACAGATGGGAAGGGAGCCTGAAGTCCTGATTCTGTTCCCAGTTCTCCGCCAGCGACATACCCCACATACTTTAGTTCTCTGGACCTTTGTGTCGCCTTCTCCATAATAAAGGGAGACTGACTTTGAAAAAAAAAAACAACAAAAACACCCAAACAATGGAATGCCAAGCTTCCAGATGAAAGGCTCTATTAGAAGTACAAAGTCTTGTTTAATTACACTGCTGCTCCAGTTTGCTGCTTCCCAGCTCCTAACTCCCACTGGGTGGATTCTGAAACCGCATAGGAGATTATGTCAAGAGGGGAGAACAGGAGAAACATTCTCTCCCTGAATTTTCTTAAATGGAAGGGAGAAACAAAATGAAAAGAAAGGCCCATTTTCCAAGGAGGGGGCTGGGGGCCGTGATCTTTCCATTAAGCGGACCTGCACAAGAATCTATAGATTATTTAATGCCGGGGGTGGCTGTGGAATGAAATAAAGGAATCTTTGTGCAGTGCCAACCACAGTTCCCTCACTTTCCCCACAGTCAGGCATTTAACCCAACTCTCTAAATCATCAAGCTCTAATGCACCCCATCTGTGCACCGGTTGTAGCCAATGAAACCGAAGCCTGTGCTGACTTTGGCCTGGGCTTGTGAAGGAGCTTTTCTGCCCCAAATGGGGCAGGAAGGAGACCATGAGGCCAACAAGGCCAACAAGGCCAACGAGGTCTTTTTTGCTCATCCCTTGTCTCCTCCCAAGGCTCAAGATTCACCAGTCTGTTCATCTGCTCATTTACTGAGCTTTTGCCATGGGTCAGCTTCTGACCCAGAGATACAAAGCTAGCAGGACAAGGTCCCAGGAGGAAAGGACGTGTGAGGGCTCTTGGGAGAGAGGAAGGAGGTAAAGGAGAAGGGATGCTCTTGGCTGAAGCACAGAGGCCTGAAATACCCATATCTGCATATTCAGGGAATGCTGCTTAGTTGGAACATAAAGCAAGGACAAGCAGGGGCCCTAACTCCAAAAACTAGGCTCTGCCGGATCGTGCAAGGCCCCGTGTACCAGGCCAGAGATACCTACTCTGAAGGCCATTACCACCCCCGCATATTCACTTCTGCCCATCTTACAAAGCCCAGCTCAAATACCACCTCTTCCAGAAATCCTTCTTCAACACCCTCAAGGTAACTGCTCTTTCTCCTTTGAGAACTCCAGATTTGAGCTCTTGGACAACTTGTATGAGTCTCAACTTCTCCATCCATACAACATCTGACTAACAGCATCTACCTTGAAGGCTTCTTGTGACGGTTAAGTGAGATAACATTTATAAAGTGTTAAGTGGCAGTTTTTAGTACACAGAAGGTGCTTTAGTACAGTTTATTGTGACCTCCATTTCTTATGATACATAGCACTTCTTCCTGATACTAAAAAGATATATGTGTTGGCTTCCACTTTCTCTGGAGATTTCCAGAAATAGGACAGCTCACATTTTCCCTCCAAGCTTGCGGGCCCCCTTCCAAAGCAAAGAGGACTGACTCCTCTCTCCCCTCACTGACACAGCCTTTCCCACATCCAAACTTCCAGACTCAAGGGGTTCCCAACAGATTCAAAAAAAATCCAAGACAAGATGAGTTAGTTGACAGAGAAGGAAGCTGGAGGCTGGCGAATGTAAATAGTACAGAGGAGAGGAATTAGCAGAAACCTAGAGAAGGGAAAGTGGGCCAGAGGCCAGGACTCCGAGGGCCCCAGGGTTCAAGCTCTGCGGTAACCCTAGACCCTGGGAGAGGCCTCGCAGGAGGAGCTTCACCCGCGGCCCTGATTTGAGAACCCCACTCCCACCCGTGGTTGTTTCAGCAGCCTTCTCCACTTCCTGTCAAATCAGCCAGCTGGACAGGGCTCTTCTCTAACTTCCTCCCTCTCTGGCTGGGGCTTCCAAGGCAGAGGCAGGGAAAGTAATGCCACCATTTCTAACAGTTCTTGTAAACAGAATAAAAACACCAATTTTTTTTTAACTTAGTCTGAGTCTGCGTAAAGGTTTCTTCTTCTTTTTTTTCACTTTAATGGCATGAAGTCCAGATTCTGAAATAGGGTGTTTTTTAAAGGGAAAAGTCCCCCATGGGTTCCTTCTCCTTTTCATGCAGCCAAGTAAAAGCCGTTTCTCCTCCCTTGGAAACTTAGGGCCAGGAGGGACGCGGTCCCCCTGAGAACGCTCCCGGAAGGCGCTAGTTCTTGGACTGCACAACCGAGGCATTAGGTGTATTTATTTATTTATTATTAACCCCCCCCCACCCTCACTTCAGGAAGCAGTTGCCAAGGCTCCTTAGGGAAATGGGATTCCACTCTTTCTTCTGATTGTGAACAAATGTCATGCCATGTTACCTCATGTAGAAGCCCTAAAGGCCCCCGTAAGCCACTGGGTCAGCTCTTCACCAAGCCACCTTTGGTCCTCCCAGAGGCCACCCATTTTAGTAATTTGACTGTCTGGTAACCTCTCTGGGGGCTTGAAGAGAATAACCCCTACTTCGTGATCCTACCTTTCTTAGAACGCCCTTTCCAGGCAAGCAGCCCCCTACATCGCGTTCACCCACCAACCCGGGCCAAGCAAGCGGAGGGAAAGGCTCCCATCAGTCCTCAGCCTGCAAGCTGCCAGCACCCACAGCCTCCAACAGGGATGACATCTAAATTCCAAAGTTACACGTTACACTAGTACACTCTCCCTCCAACTCAGTTATTTCTCAGCTGAGTGAGACAACCACGCGGGACAAAAGACGGAGTACAAAGGTCCCAGGCTCTCTGGGAGAGCATGTCAACCTCTGCAAACCCAGGAGCCAGCAGTGCCCTTGCCCCACCCCATGGGTAGGCACGGAACATGTACCTTGGAAATGAGTTCATCATGATTGGCCAAGTGGGCTCTGCAGTGAATGCAGCTGTAGGTCCGATGGCATGAGGGCAGGTATGCCTGGAAAGTCTTGGATCTTGTCATCTTCACCATTGGCGCTGCTGAACGTGGGCTGAACTCCGGGGTGGCCCACGAGGCACTCCCACAGGATGGGTCGCACGGGAAACACCGGAAGACACAGGTAAAGGCCGTGGTTTGGCAAGGGGTGGGTGTGCGGCAGGCTCCACACACTGGTGATGTCTTCAGAGGAAGGACCCTCAGGCAGAGGTCGAGGGCTGGTTCTCAGCAGCCTGCAGTGCCAAGATAAGGGAATATCATGAGCTAAAGGAGCTGGGCTTCCTGCAAACCAAGCAGAGTCCAACTGCCACCCAAGAGAGAAGGCAGCTTTTACAGGATAAAACGACCCCCTTCTCTGTCCTTACGCTGTGCAAGATGCCCAGTGAATAAGAAGAAGCCAATGGAGATCTCAGTATTGCTGCTGTTCTAGAGCTGGAGGTTCAGTATCAACTCAGGGCTCTCAGCAGTCACCCTGCCAACATCCAGCAAACTGACACGAATACCACTCCCAGGAAGCCCTAGAAAAGGCCAGATATGCCACCTGCAACCCCAAGGAGAGGACCCCTCAGGGGCCCCTTCTCCTGAGTCAAGCAAGACAATTGGCTGAAAAAGCTTACTCTCTAGAGATTCACTACATCAACAATCACAGGTGGATTTCTCATCCATTTCCAGATGCCAGGAGTCCTCCCACCCTTGAAACCACCACCCGCAGAGGCAACAAACCTCATCCTACCTTTTGCTTATGAACTAATAAGCATGGGATACAAAGGATCAAGTTCAACCAGCAGGGTCCCTCATGGCTGGCCAGCCTTTTTGGGAGAAGTGACTCTCTTTGCAATATCTTGCCCAGAAGTAGATGCTCAGTATATATATATATATATATATATATATACACACACACACACACACACATATATACAATATACATATTTTTTGGAGGGGAAGGCAAGTAAATGAATGAAATTCATGGTATAATCAGACTCCTGCATCTAAAATTCACAATAACGGTGAATCTTCCCAGAATTTCCCTTCAACCCTCAAATTTTCCATTACTCATCCCACAGTACCAAACATTTCTCCTACCACAGCCTCAGCTTTTTTATTCTAATGAGAAACAAGGACACTGAGAAGTGGGGTGGCTCCCAGGGTACGTCCAAGTAAAGGTCTCAGGGCAAAACTCCAAGGTTTAAGACCCACTCTGCTTCACTGAGGCTCACATACCTGAGGCTTCTGGACCTACCTATTCCCTGGGCATCACTAACGGGGGTGGTGTTCCCACTTGCCTACCTCCCAGGAGAGCCAGAGTGTTAATTAACGCCTGCGTCATGCTTTGAAGATAAAATTATTTAGAGAGACGGGGGAGGAAGACAAACAAAATCAGATCTTCCTTGCTGGATTATGCCTGGGATCCATCTGGATGTTTAGACAAAGCCTGCAAATCATAGTCCTCTTTTTCCTCTAAACCTCTGGAACCAAATCTTTCACAGGGAAGCTGTCCTCCTCCCTGACATCCTTCCCAACACAGCACCACTGAAGGCCACTGTACCCCTGGGACTCTGTATCTTCCTGAGTGGCCAACACCTTTGGCCAGCACTAGACTGAAGGACAACAGTGGTCACTAGCTCTTCTCCTGCATGTCCCTTGAGCAGCTAAGCCAAGCAAGCCCCACCTCCAGGGTGATCAGTTCCACATGAGATGTCCAACCCTGTTGAAGGGATTCAGACCTACAGGGGCCCAGACATAATATCTTCCTTGCTCAGTCTTCCACCACTACTTTTAAAGATGTGAAATCAAATTAAACTGAACATTACAGTAACATGTGAAAAATGTGGAGGTGAGAATTAATCTCCCCAGTTCCACTTTGGAGTCAGGCCTGGCCATAACAGGAAATGAGGGAGATCCACGACCCCAGGGAGCAGAGCCCCTTCGTCTCACCCTGGGTGTCCTCCCGTAGTGGTAAGGTGAGGGCTCAGAACCAAAGCCCATGGCAGACCAATGCTGTTGGGTGTTGAAGCATTCCAGGTGGTAGAAAGAGCAAAGTAGGGGTTTCCTGAAATACCCTCGAACTTTCCAATACTCCTGTTCCACTCTCAGGAAGGACAGCACTTCCAGGAAGGGAAGGGGTGATAGGTCAGGGGGTAAGCTAAGACAGAGGCAGGGCAGGCGAGTGGGCGGCTTGCCCCAGGCCAGCCGCTTCTGAAGTCCACAGCCTCAGCTGCCCAGTGGGGAGCGGTGGGAGCACCGGCCCTGTCAGTCCGCCTTATACAAACACTGAGGGAAGAAAAGGAAACAATGAGCCCTGGCTGCCAGTCTGGGTTTACAGAGCGGCCACAGAGTCTGTTTTCTTACACACACAGACGGCTTCTAAATTATGCATTTCCCCAGAGCGGAATTATTTCTTCGCTCACTTCTCTTCTGTAGGAACCCCCCCAAAAAAGTTCACAGGCAGGGGTTTCTGGTTATGCTCAACTTCAAATCTGAATCTCAAAACTTATTCAGAGCTACCTACTGAAGAATCAGCATTCACGTTCTGCATGAAACGTATGTCACACACAAACACGTACCCAGGCACACACAATCATTGCACACCACACCGCAGAACCTGAAGAGAGAAAAATGGGCCACGTGAGCAACATCCCAGGCTGCCTGGTGCTAGGAGAGCCCCGGAGAGCCTAGAAGGCAGGCCTCGGACTTGGCTGCTAGACTCTGCTCCTCCTGCTCTTCCAGAGGAATGTGAAGGCACCCACAAAAGGTGCCTCGTGCCCCGAGAAGAAAGGAAAGAAAAGTGGCTTTTGGAAATACACAACTTGTTCAACTGGGGCAGGGCGAACTAGAAGGAATGAGAGGGGGAAAGTGGAAAGCAAGGGGAAGCAGGATCAAGAGGGAGTCCTTGCGTCTGAGAAGAAAGAAGAGAATGGACTGAGTGAGAGACAAAGATGAGAGCTGAGGACCAAAAAAGTCACCTACTACCACCTCCTTCCCTCTTTCAGGGAAAATGCTAAAAGCTACTTCTTTTAGAAAGAGATCAGTTTTTAGGAAGGAAGAAAAAAATAGTTTTTTTTTAAATGGAAGAAATGAAGAGTATGGGGCTGTCGAACTCACATGTTAATTTTTGGACTCTGGGTACCTGCTAATGGGGCCACAGGCTCCATGGGGCTTCGTGAGTTGAAAATACTGTGGAGTCCAAATTGATTCCCAACAATAATCAAATGAGCTCAATATTTAAAAGCCTCAGGGCACATGTACAAACTAAACACCATTTTAAGTGAAGTAACAATCCATCACAGTGGAAATTAAAGGAAGATTTGCTACCACCCCCAGCTGGCTCCTGCTGATCAGCATGGAAAGAAAAGATGTGAAATATTGTGATTAAAAACAAAGACCTTAGATACACCAGTCTGAGAGCCAAATGCATAGGGAGCACACAACAAACCTGGCTGTCCCACCTTGCAGACTGGTTTTTTCCATAAGGAGTCACAACTGCCGGTGGAAATCAAAACAGAACTTTCTGAGTCACCAGGACGGAGAGGTAGGAGGTATGACTTACGGATTCATCAGGTAAGTCATAAAGGAACTGAATAAACGATGTGGAAGACGAGGCAGAACAGCCACACACAGAGCTCCAGAAACTGAGAGGATGGAACCCACCAGGGGATGCGACACCTCAGCCAGAGAAGCCGACTATCCCCAGGTGTGCCTCCGGACTGTTGTTTTGTTGTGGGGTGTTTTGGAGGAGGGTAGGCAGAGACTGCCTGGAAAAGAAGTGGGCTCTGGAATCACAAAACCAGTTCTACTCCTTTCTAGCTGAACGACTCTGGCAAGTTACTCAACAGCTCTGATCCTCAGCTTCCCCAGTTCTAACAATACCAACATACACAGGGTTACAAGGATTAAATGAGATGTTGTAACTGCATACGCGGTGCTGGCACACAAAACACACCAAAATTGTAGGTATTATGATTTTTAGTGGTCAGTGAACTGGGGTGGGGGAGGGTGGCGATGCTGCTGCTTAGAAAGAGAGGAAAACGAAAAAGGAGGCCCAGGAGTTTAGAGACAGACACAGTTTGCCTGCCACTTCCCTTAGGACTCTCCACCTTGTCTTCAAGCACTATAGCTGGAACTACTGGAATGACATTTCTCTAAATCTTGAATTCTCCTTTCATGGTGAGAGGAGGTGATGATGACCCTGGGGAAACCACAGAGTATTCCCCTCATCACTACTGAGGTTCTTCTAAGAGGTGGCTTCCCCAGTGGCCATGCTCCCATAGGCCCCAAAGCACTGCCAGGAATATAGTGTCTTATTCACACAGCCCAAGAAGGCCCCTGAGCCTCCTTTCTCCTCTAAACCCACCCTCCGCATTGCAGTCACTGTTATGTATTTAAAAAGCAGATTTGGCCACATCATCTCTCTCACGTCCTTCAGAAAGGTAACACAGGGCAACAGTTAACCAGATGAGTTCTGGGTATTTATCTAAAGAAAACAAAATCACTAATTCAAAAAGACCTACGGATGCCTATGTTCACTGAAGCACTATTTACAATAGCCAAAGTATGGAAGCAATCTAAGTGCCCATCGATAGATGAATAGATAAAGATGATGTGGTATTTAAATTCAGTGGAATATTACTCAGCCATGGAAATGAATGAAATCTTGCCAATTGCCAGGTTGGACCTAGAGAGGATTACTCAAGGTAAAATGAGTCAGACAGAGAAAAACAAATACCATTTGATTTCACTTGTGTCTGAAAAAACAAAACAGAGCAAATAAACAAATGTAATAAAACAGAAATAGAGTCATCGATACAGAGAACAAACTGGTGGTTGCCAGAGGGAAGAGGAGTAGGGGGACAAACGAAATAGATGAGGTACAAACTTCCAGCTATAAAATAAGTCATGGGGATGAAATGTACACAGAGGGAATATAGTCAACAATACTGCATTAACTTTGCATGCTGACAGATGATAATGGGTAATGATCATTTCATAATGCATAAAATATTAAATCACTGTGTGGTACATTGGAAATTAATATAATACTGTATGTTAATTATAGTTTCATTAAAAAAAAAAAGATGGGTAACGGAACCAGACTTGAGAGTTTCAAATCTCAATTCTATCATTTCCTAGCTGTGTGACCTTGGACAGTTTACTTAACCTCTCTGGACCTTGCTCTCCACATCAAAAACTAGGAATCCTAATATTGACCTCATAAGGCTCTTGTGAGAATTAGCTAAGCTAATACATATTAAGTACTCAGCATGGTGTGTAGCAAGTATACAAACTCCAAGTACATATTACTGCTGGCAACCATCTATCACTGACACCCATGAATGGCTTCAGACTCATCTCTACCACCTTCTACTCTACACTCCATTTTTTGAACTGACATTTAAGGGTCTACCATGTGTCAGGAACAGTCTCCTAAGTGCTCAGATATGGCAACCAAACTTTGCAGTTCCTCTTAATACATCACACCTGCATTTCACCATTTTTTTGGTTTTGTTGATGCCATTCCCTCGACCTGCCACACCCTTCCCATGTCTCCTCACCAGGCCCTTAACTTGTCACTTAAGACTCAGCTCAAATGTCCCCTCAGCATTGGACTTATTGGCCCCTGCTCTGTGCTCACCTCTATCTTAATATTTACTCTATTGAAATGGATATTATCCTTTTTTGCCTTTGTACCCTCTGCTAGAAGAGTCAAGAGAAGAGGCCACATTTGAGTCATTTCTGCACCTCCTGAACTCGGCAGCATGGAGCATACAGTAGGGGCCACTGCTGAACCGAATTCCCCCTGCTTCCCGCTGGGCTGCTGACTAGTGGGCAGCAGACATGACCGAGGCCCCACCCTTCCTCCTACCAGTGCCGAGACAAGACGCAAAGTGGGGCTCCGGGCACCATGGAAGCCTGTTCATCCCCGACAGCCTCTACTCAGATCCTGCGCTGAGACACCAGAACTATGGTTCTTCTGGGCTACAGAAGATTTTTTAACGTTAATCAAAGGCCTGTCGGCCCCTCTCTCTCCCTTTGGAGACGGCCCACATTCTGTCTATGGAGTGTGTACCTACTTTTAATCTGAGCACCAAACCCCCACACCTTGTGGCCTTTCTCTTGCCTTTCAATGTATCTTTCTGAATAAATCTACCTTCACTAAAAAAAAAAAAAAAAAAAAAAAAAAGCTTGTCATTGTCATCCATGCCCATTTTTCACATTTACAGGGTCTAGGTTAAATATAATAATATAATGTGTTTTATATATATAGCTGTTGGGGGTATAGCTTAACCATTTTCCAGTTTTTCTGTCTCTTAGTTATTGTAGAAACTCTTCGAAAGCCCGAAGCAGACTTTATGCTGGCTTTAAGGACAGGAGCCTGGCTGAACAGTCTGTTCTAGAGGGAAAGAGAGAAGCCCAGGTTGGATGCAACAAACAGGTGGCAGTGGGAAGGGGACAGGTGAGCCATTTCCGAGACTGGAGACAGAAAAAAGAGATACTATGGTGGTGGAAAGCCTCAGTCCCAGGAGGATAGTTCTCTATCCCCAATCCTAATCTCACCAGAATCCTAAACCCAGGCCAGGGAGTAAAGAGACCCAGTTTCCCTGGCTGCCAAATAAGAGAAGTGGGTGGTGGTGTCATCGACTGGAGACGAGGACAGGATTAGAGACAGATGGACTTGGATTCCGCCTTGGGTCTTCTTACTAGCTGCATCACCACTGAGCAAACTGAAAGGGAGTAACAGCGCCTACCTCGTGGTGGAGACAAGAACATCAAGTGAGACAATGCAAGTGTAGCATTCAGCGCCTGCACGGGCTTAGTCCTCAATAACCGTGATTTGCTATGATCATCCTTACCAGCGCGGGAGAAAAAACACAGGGACTGTTCGTACTCACAAGACCTAAACGAGCAATGCTCTGGTCTGCCCGGTTGACTCATGGTGGTTAGAGGGTTTGACCCAAATTAATCCACTTAAAGGTATACAGTGATGTAAGTAGGTTTTTGTGGCTTAGCTGGGGATCTGACACTATTGAAATATCATTCCGAACAACAGACCACTCCATCACTCAGCGCAGTGGAAGTTACCTTTGCGGTCCGCACTGGCTCTACCAATTCCAGGATGGGGCCACCATTGAGAACTTTACTGAAACGCCCCTATTAAAACTGCCATGGAGCTGACTGCAAGACATACAGGAAAATCAATGCCACCATTTCATAGTTAACCATTTTGTAGCACTGGGACCAGGTGGTACTTCAGATCCATCCAGTTGATAATAAAAACCAGTTTGAATATTCCAGAAACCACTGTCTTTCACAAACAAAACCAGGGAGGGGATAGCTCAGTGGTAG